ATGATAAGATCTTCGAATATTGTTTTAATTGGTATAAATATTAATTTTGTTATCAGTAAATTAAACCCATACTGAATATCATTGTTATACACAAATACACATTCACGGTTCTGCAACCTGTTGATACCTATAGTTTGGCATTGCACAAGGCCATGTTTTTCTTTGACTTTTAATCTTAATCGATTTAATACTGATTAATATTTTAGTCTAAGATACATGATTTTTTTTGGCTTTGAACTAGCTGTCAGTAACTGCGAGTACTCTCAGATCAGAACTTTGTGTCTTTTTTGTTGTGGGGGTGTATAAATTCCCTACCACGTGCAGTGTGTGATTTTATAAGTTGTTTTGTATCGATCTGATGAGGTAAGACCTTTTCAAATGATTTTTATAGTTTGTTTTTATGTTGTACTGTTACAACACTGTAAAAGGTTAGGTGGAAGGTTTAGCGACAGCGAACATGTTTTACCCCGCCACATTCTATATGTGCCTGTCCCAAGTCAGGAGCCTGCAATTCAGTGATTGTCGTTTATTGCTGTTCCTTATATTTGTTTTTCGTTTATTGTTTTGTAAAACAACTGTCTCCGGCTAGAGGAGGGTGGGCGCCTTCAAACATGTTTTACCCCGCCACAAGCTTTGCGTGCCTGTTCTATGCCAGAAGCCTGTAGTTTAGTGGTAGTCGTTGGTTTATATCTGGCATATTTCTTTTTCGTATACTGTTTTGTTATAAATTAGTTTGTTATTTTTCTTAGATAAATTGTTCATATTTTTCATGACGAGGCCTTTTATAGCCGACTATATGGTATGGGCTTTCTTATTGTTGAAGGCCGTGCTGTTGCCAATAATTGCTTACATCCACTTCATTTGAACTTTGATGGATAGTTGTCCCATTGCCAATCATACCACATCTCCCTATGTTTTATATTTGTCAGTTGTTACAAAGATTTGTTTGCCTGTATGATTGTAAACACAAGGTGAAAACCCCCACCAATAGTTATCATACAGTATATATTTCATTGAAGACAGACAATAACAGAATAAAGACAGTTCACTTGAGTCCAATAAATAATTAAAAGTGATGTATGAAACTTTAAAAGGACAATAGAACTACATTGAAAAGAGGTTTAGACCACTTTAGAATGTCCATTGTTCTTTAGTATCGCAAATTATAAAACACTGTCTCAAAAAAGAATGTTTCCCAGGAATTGTTACAAAATGTATGATATTAAGTCCGTCGACTCAACTTTATAAATTTCACATCAACTGTATTTCAAGCTTCATAAGAACACAATGTAGGAGGTGTGTCAAATTTTGCCGCATATGCTGTCCCAAAACAAATCAACTTTCAATTAACTCTCAGTTTTAATTTCTAACTCTTTCGATTTGTTAATATTTCAAATAAAAATAAAACAACATAATTACAGTACATGACCTCTTAACACCTGATATTTCGCATTTTATTGATTAAAAAATAAATCCTTTCGAATTCCCTTTTTAGTATTAGACAAATCAAACTATGTTCTTCCGGTTCAATATCTCAATGTAAAAATCCGTTTTGTTTTATCTGTACATATGTTCGTACAATTAACAATCCAAACTTTTACCATTTTTAATTTCAATCTTTTGTTAAATTGGTGTCACTGATAGCATCTATGGTCACATGTCTCATTTATTTCCCATTTAGGCATACCTTTGTTGTTTATCAAAAGAAAGTAATCTACTGCAACGTGTCTGTTAAATTAATTCAAGCACCAATCAATCTCAATTTAATGATATAAACTGAATAATAGAAATGATAAAAATAAAAAAATTCGCTATTATTTGAAAAACAGCTACATGTATATATAAAAAAAATCGCGAGACTCGGTATGATTGTCAATGAGACGACTATCAACCAGAGACCAGAGGACACGAATGCAAACAACTACAGGTCACCTTCAACAATGAGCAAAACCCATACCGTATAGTAGGCTATCAAAGGTCCTGGCATGACATAATGTGAAACAATTCAAAAATAAAAAAAAAAGAAAAAATAAACACTTCAAGCTCTTAATTTTGGATAGGCACATAAAGAATGTGGATAAGTTAAACATGTTTGTTAGCGCTTACCTCCCCCTAATAATGGAGTAACAGCACAACATTAGAATAAAAAGGTACATACAGGCTAAGGTTACAGATTCTGCATAGTTCGAATTAATATAAACATAAATATTATTGTTAGGTATTTCTTATTCTTCCTTTAATTGTGATGTAACAGAAGTTAAACATTGAAAAATGATACATTAAAACTCAAGTATTGATTGACTGATTGATTGATTGATTGATTGATTGATTGATTGATTGATTGATGCTTGCATAGCGTCATATGGCGAGTATTTCATGCATATCTAGGACAAAAAAAAACCAAAAACAAAGCAATTTATACATTATAAAGGTTATGCGAAGTAGGTCGACCGCGCTGAAAGGCTGGTCTGTTGTACTGTCCAGTATTTTGGGTAATCCCTTTTATCCTTTTATATGTATAATACATTTTTTATTAAAAATCAATTCAAAGGCATATAATGTATTTATGATTGTGTTTCCATCGAATACTTAATATATTATTTTCATGGTCGTCATATTTAGATGCAAGTCGTCAATAAAAAACAGGGTTGTGGTTACAGACGCCCCCAAAGATATGCCCTGTAAAACAGACTAAAACTCAATAAAAAGGATTTATACTATGTGCCTTAAACTATCAAACCTATCAGAAAGAATTCACTCTTAAACCACTTTTCCCTTTTAAAAATTTGTCAAACACCACTGTCAGATGACATACACATAACTTTAATTATTGAAAATGTACTCGTTCAATACATTCATATTTATGGCATGTAATCTGTGGGTATTTTTTTCAATTTCTCATAAGTTTCACTCTCACTTACTGCCATCTTGTGCAAACTTCTAGCACAAATTATCTACAGTAACATCATGAAGCACTCAATACTTAATGATGCCCAACACGGATTCAAGAATGAGCGGTCTTGTGAGTCCCAGCTCATACTCACCATCCAGGACCTTGCGAGGAATGTGAACAAATAAAGGACATATGGACCTTATCCTACTATATTTCTCCAAGGCCCTTGAAAATGTACCATACGAAAGACTTCTATACAAGATACACCATTATGGTATAAGGGGTACAACTCTGACCTGGCTAAAAGACTTCTTGGGAAACAGGCAACAACGTGTTCTACTTGAAGGACATTTATACGAGTCGGCAACTATACAGTCCTGGGTACCACAAGGACGTGTATTAGGCCCGCTCATGTTTTTGCTGTTCGTCAATGATCTACCAGAGTATGTATCAACATCAAAAGTCAGGCTATTTGCAGATGATTGTGTCTTGTACCATCAGAAAAAAATACTGACGAGCTGCAAAGAGATCTGGACGGATTACAACAGTGGGAATATATTGGCAGATGGAATTCCACCCCTAGAAATGTCAGCTGCTTATGGTTGCCACTAAAATTATACCTGCGAATTAGAAATACATGGACACGTACTCGAAGAAGTCGACGCAGCAAAATACTTGGGGTTACCATACACAAAACCCTCAACTGAAACCAATACATTAGCAACATCACAATGCTAACCAAACCAGAGCATTCCTCCAACAAAACATCAGAAACTGACCTAGCCAAACTCAAGCACTTTGCTTTCATACACTAATAAGACCATTAATGGAATACTCCTGTACCATCTGGGACTCGGCAATTAAGGATAAGATATACAAACTAGAATCAGTGCAAATACGATCCGCACGATTCGTCCTAAATGACTACAACATAATCAGTGGAGTATCATCAATGCTACAAATTCTTAACTGGGTGACATTGCATGGAGAAGAGCAAATTGCAAAGTGATCATGATGTACAGAATCGTAAACAACCTTGTGGCTATTTCATCATTAATTCATCTAATGCCACTAACATCCACTCTCGGGGACATCATGACAGATTCTTGGTACTATTTTCCAGGACTGATGTTTACAGGCATTCGCTCTTCCCTAAAACAATCCGAATCTGGAATGGACTACCAGCGTCCTTAGTATCATGCACAACCCTTGAGTCATACAAACAAGGTGTGCAGGGTGTCCAGATACTATAGACAGTGATGTCGTTTTAGCCAGATTTTAATGGAGCACAACTGCACTGTATATATATGCACGTTTTCCACAATGTTTTTCTCGCATCAAGTATGTTAAAGTCAACGGTACGATAATACTCCCCTGGAAGGCCTATACTTTACCGGAAGAAAAAGAAGTTTCTAGGCTGTCATTTCACAAAATATTTTTGGTGAAATGTTTTTAGCGTTTAGTTGAAATTTAGAAAAATCGCATCGACAACCATGCAGAACATAATATAAAGTTGATTTTAGTATAAAAGAAATCAAAATAAATAAAATGATGTAAATAAGGTAAACAAATATTTTTCTTTCAACATTTTACTTTCACTTTGCCAGTAGGTTCGAAATGACACAATCGGAATAAGATTAACTGTTTTGAAAAGGTCTCATGACAGCTCATTATCACTACAATGGCCGTCTTTTTTTAACAAGGGATAAGTTCCATGAAAACACGTAAATGTTCCTGCGTTCTCAGTTAAATTATTTTAATAGTGTTTTTGTATGTATTGGGATGTTTTGCATGCCTGAGTGTTCTCTTTCTTTAATCCTTTTTTTATGACTGTTTGGGCTTTTTGAAGAGATCTTTTCCTTTTTTTTTATATAGAAGAACATTTTGACACACAATTTTAAAATATTAACAAAAGTATATCATGACAAAATGTCAAATGATCTTTCATTTACATAAACATGATTAAGTAAGTAAGACCATTTTTCGCAAGAAAAAGAACATTGAAAATCAGATTTCATCTCCTTATTTTTATATGTGATCATAATAAGGTAATAGCTTAAAAAAAATAAACTCCCTGCATCACTGTAACATTTAATACAGATATGTATTAACACTTTGGCAGCTCTTTATAAACATATAATGCAATCGTCATCCTAATGTTGTAACAACTTCCGTATATCTCCACTTCACTGTGCCTAGGCCATTGTTTAATCCATCCTAGACTGGTACATGTACAAACAACTTTGGTATTTGATAAACTTAGCTCTAAAAGTGATGGTAGATTCATCGTTGCTTTCGGTACGGCAGTTAGATGTGTATTATCCAGAGTTAGATACCTCAATGACTTAAGTCCATGAAAAGCATTGTCGGACACGGTATGCAATGGACTGTTTGTGAAATACATTCTCTCTAGTTTATCCATTTTACTGAAATCGGTATCTTGAATTTCCGTTATTAAGCTTGTCATAAAATCAAGTCGAATGAGACTAGTTAGGTTTGATAAAGCATTTGGAACACTGGTCAAAGATGTGTTCTTTAGTGTCATAAACCAAAAACTAGAGGAGAAATTCAGATGAAACACGTTATCCGGAATTGATGTAATAGGATTGTTCTCTAGCTGCAACATAAACAAATTATTAAGTTTACGAAAGATGTTCGGCAAAATAGTTATACTACTATGCATAATCGTCATTCGCATAAGGGTAGGAAGTTTGATAAATGTTTTAGGTTCAAAGCTTTCAGTTGTAAGCATTGGATTATCTATTAAATTTATATCTTCCAACAATGAGCGATCACCAAGAGAAGATGGTATGTTACTGACATTCGTTGAAATCATCTCAAAACTACTCAGGTTGCGAAAATTAGTTAATGCATCGTCTGGAATTCGTGGGATGTTTAAATTTTCAATCGTTATTGAATCCAGGTTTGACAAAACGTTTAAAGAATTTGGCCACGATGACATTTTTGTATCACCAAACATAATTCCGGACAATGTGCTTGAAACGCTTCTAAGAACATCTTCCCTGATTGTAGATATAGGATTATTATGGATATGTAAACCCATAAGCTTCCTCATTTTACCAACAGCAGATGGAAAACTAGTCAGTTTATTATTATACAGATGGAGGACATACAAAGTGTCCTCACTTCCACTGAAAGCGTCCTCCTCTACAACTTCAATCTCATTGGCAAATATAAGAAGCATTTCAAGTTTCAGGTTTTCGAAAGCGCCATTCCGTATTCTTTTTATTTTATTATTATGCAGTTCAATATCCCATGTCATATTTTCGTTGACTGGTTTCGAAAACTCTGGAACATCAGTCAGATTTAAATGATTACAGTAGATTATATTATATTGGCAACTACATTGTGGCGGAGCAGGACAGCTGTCGCACTTCATTAAGGGGAGAAAGAAAAACAGTATCAAAATAACCTGAAAAAGATAAAATGATGTAGAACAAACAGAAGTAGAAACTAACAAAAGCTTCATGATGTTTTTTGTTTATTTTATAACCATGATTTAGGCTGCTTTCCTATTACACTGTAAGCTCTGAAAAACTATAGGGCTGAGTGGTAAGGTGCACTCAATCTACTTTAAAACAAAGAGTTTTTCAGTTCGTTATCAATGATCTGTGGTTTACATCGGACACGTGATAACCAAAAAAATGTGGCGTTAAAAGCAAAACAGTGAAAAAAACCAACAGTTCGAAAATCGAAGTCCTTGTTTGATTTTACAATTTAAACATTAAATATATGTTTAGTGAAACATTGCAAATAAATCTGTTAAGCAAATGATTAACTAGATTGTTGATGGCTACTAAAGTAGTCGAAAATTAATGGTTATAAGAGAATATCTTTTGCGGATTGACTATTTATTTCTGAATGTTGCTACGCAATCCGCGCGAAAATTTATTTTCATTTTGTACACAATTGTTTTTTGCATTTGTGCTGCATCCTTCCTTATGCAAGATTATTTATTTTCAGCTCTTACCAGGCCAGGATATTCGTTTTCAAAATCCTCTTCCCCAGAAAATCAAATGGTTTAGCCCTTACCAGTCGCGATCGGTTGCTCCATTTTATTGAAATAGCTTATTTAATCTTATATAAGCATACTAGTAATATATAGATAATATAGCAACCTAACGACACAAACAGCTATAAGACATCTGGAAGTCATCATAGAGTCTTCAACAATATATTATACAATATGTCAAAGGCGCGATCCAGCAATTTTGAAAGGGGGTTCGAACCCCTGTAACATTATGAAACGTTCACATAATTAATAAATAAGAATAAATAAATAAATCGAAAAATGTTCCAACCCCCGGAACACTCCCTGGATCCGACAATGAACTGTCAAACTCATAATTGCCTCAAGTAAAAAAGTTCTGAATTAATCGAATAGAAATTATCAAAGACGTGTTATCAACTCTAATTGAATTAGCAAAACAAATACATAAAATAACATACAATTAGAATTAGTTACGGAAAAACACAATTTTCCTCAAAAGTAACGGTATGATAAATAACAAATAATTAAATACAAAAACTCTTTACTTTATCAAAAAATGTTTGCAGTTGTTGAAAGCAATCTGAAATTGCTAAACCTGTTGATTTAAAATCATATTATCCTACAATCCAATATCGGTGAGTGTACTTCAAATATGAAAAATAAGAAGATGTGGTATGAGATAACTCTGCAACAGAAACCCAATGACATAGTAGTTAACAATTATAGATTACCGTACGGCCTTCAACAATGAGCAAAATCCATACCACATAGTAAGCTATAAAAGGCCCTGAAATGACAAAATTAATGTTAAACAATTCAAACGAGAAAACTAACGGCCTGGTTTATGTACAAAACAATACTAGTAAACGGAAAACAAATATGAAATGCAGCAACAAACGACAAACACTGAATTACAGACTCCTGACTTCGAACAGTCACATACATAATGTGGCAGAGCTAATAGTGTAACAGTGGTGTAACAGTACAACATAACAATAAACTATAAAAAAAAAATCAGTTGAAAAGGGCTTAACTCACCAGATCGATACAAAACACAAAAGACAGATTGTAGACCCATTCATACATCATCGTCATAAACAGGAATGCATGATCTTGTGCAATGCCCATAACAAACACGATTTATTGTTTTACATAAACACCTGTCTGTTGTCGAAAGACTGAAGTTTTCCCTCTTCTTGTCGTTTTGATTATTTTTGTCTTTGGGCTGCTGTCTTATTGACTTATGCCCGACTACTCCGTTTAATCAGGGTTTTAATATAAAATAATAACTTACTATTCCCATTATAGCTCACTGTCACTGTTTAAAATTGTAATCTCATTTATTATCTAACGAATAATGCGGTTGATCATTTACGAGGTGAATACGAAAGTTCACATGATGACAACAATAACAAGTAATAGCTTTTCTAAAAACTAGCCGTCTCATAGCTGATGAACTTGGAAAATGTTTTTTCAATGCAGCGCTTTATACCATTCAAGTAATAATAACTTACTATTCCCATTATAGTTTATTGTCACTGTTTGAAATTGTTATCTCATTTGTAATTTTATTATCTAACGAATAATGCGGTTGATCATTTACGAGGTGAATATGAAAGTTCACATGATGACACCAATAATAAATGATATGAATACGGTTAATTTTCTAGATCAATATTTGAGTTAACTCCCCTCTAATTTGACCGCGTAAGCGTAGCTATTGAAAAATCAAAGACAAGTCTATCGAAACATTGCTAGGTATGCTTAAATGCAGAAATTGAAATATAGTGCTAAGGGGCGTAGGAGCCAGGACAAATTGAACTAACTTCTAGACTATTTGACTATAGAAAATGTTTTGCTTTGCTTTTCACTTTCTGAAATCCCCCCCCCCCCCCCTCCCCAACCCAACACACACACAAACACGTTTCAGTCTAATATTTTGCCATTGAACGAGTTCACAAACACTTGACTGAACGAAAATTAAAACTAAAGACTGAGCAATACAACCCCCGCCAAAAACTTTTGATTTTGAGAAATCCTATAGGATAAAGTCATAATCCCGTAGAATATTTTTGATATCCTTTGGGATATTTTTCTAATGAAATAATCCCGTAGGATAAAAAGTATCCGATAGGATTAATAAAAATCCTTAGGAATTTCATTACAGAAAAAATATCCTGTGGGATAAAAAAATCTTAAGGAATTAGAATAAATCCTTAGGGATAAAAAAATCCTAAGGAAGAATAAAAATCCAATGGGAGATTAAAGCAAATCATAAGGGGAAAAAGATCCAATGGGAGAAAAAAAACCTCCTATGGGAGAGAAAAACCTCCTATGGGAGAAAAAAACCTATCGGAGAAAAAACAAATCCTATTGAAGATAAAAATCCTATTTGAGAACAAAACCTCCAGTTAGAAAAGAGAATACTTTTTATATGTTCTGTTACTCAGTAAAAGCATTATTTTATTTGATCAAATATCCCCAGATTTCATTGTTCAAGAAATGCAAAATTCCCGTTAATAGTACTCCTAGCCTGGAGCTTGCATGGCAGTTACTGCTAGTAGTCCTTTATTTGTTTATGTTTATTATTGTCATTTGCGTAGTTTCTTCTGTTACCTATTCTTACATCGGACTCTGACATCTTTTAATTTGAGTTTTACAAAGAAGATGTGGCATGATTGCCAATGAGACAACTCTCCACAAGTGACCAAATGACACAGAAATTAACAACTATAGGTCACCGTACGGCCTTCAACATTGAGCAAAGCCCATACCGCATAGTGAGCTATAAAAGGCCCCGAATGTAAAACAATTCAAACGAGAAACCAACAGCCTAATTTATGTACAAAATAATGAACGAAATACAAATATGTAACACAGCAGCAAACGACAACCACTGAATTACAGGCTCCTGACTTGGGACAGGCACATACAGAATGTGGCGGGGTTAAACTAGTTTGAAGGCGCCAACACCGACCCCTAACCTGGGACAGTGGTGTAACAGTTTAAAATAAGAACAAACTATAAAAATCATTTGAAAAAGGCTTAACTCATCAGATGGATACAAATAGAAATACTTCTAACAAAAACACAGAGTGGACGTGGACGGGTACTTATACATCCAAACAGCAAAAAGACATTAGGTACAGATCCGAGAGTAGTTGCAGTTACTGGCAGCTAGTGTGGTTGTTTTTTCCACATCTGCTAAAGGTATAGGGGGAAGGTCTAGGAACCTCTAGCCTTTTTTAATTTTGTGTGTGTGTTTTTTTTATTAAGGTTCATTTGTATGTATCGGAGTTTAGTGTAGCGTCCAATTCGCTGAACTAGCATAATTATTGTTTAAGGGCCAGCTGAAGCCCCCTCTAGGTGCGGGATTTCCTCTCTGCGTTGATGACCCATGTTGAACACTTCAGGGCACCTGTATTCAACCCTGTTGTTTTACTGTGACAGGACAATGACACCATCTAAACCAAAACTTGAGCTGTGAAAAAAATCAGAAGCAAATTCAATCAAAACATGTTGTTGAGGCTAAGTATACCACCAGCTCGTAATTGAAAGTAAGAGCAAATCGGAAATATGTGTCCAACAGATCTTAAAAGCAATAATACGTTTGCATTCATCTCTGTTGAGATGCTATCCAAATAAGGAGTTCATTGCTTTCTGTAGGTTCTGAGAAATAATTATCTGTTAGACTATTAGACAGACAGACAGACAGACAGCCAGACAGATTTACAAGAAGATTGTATATTGCCCTCGCTCCTATAGTGGGAGTATAATTATTTTTTACCACCAAAAAAGTAGTTGTCTGGTGACACAAATACACATAAGAAAGCCAAGTTTAAACATTTTTAATAAATGAATAAATTATGAAGATGAAAATGTGAATGTTTACAGACGACGTATGCTTAAAGACGTATGCTAAAAGGCCAGACTAGTTCACATGGCCTTACAGGCCTGTAACACAATGACAGTAACTGTTGGAAAACCGGACTTTATTTGAAAAATAATATTTCAAACATCCTAAATCTCAAATCTTAATAATAAATTAAGGCATTTTATAAAATTTCAGTTAGGCACCGACTATTCATCATTTGTGGGTGGGGGCATATGTTTTTGTTGGACTCAGGACAAACATAATTTTCGACTTCAATCGAAATAAATTGTTTCTTTTTCAATAACATGCAGGAACATGT